CCTGCCTTTAAGCAACTCAGTCTCCTTGTGTGTTATCTGCTTTTCAAATGGTTTCCCCTCAAGTATCTACTGGAACCTCAAGTACAATGGAATCCAGAGTTACYAGATTGGACTTTGGAGATCCGTTATACTTACATCCAAGCGATACTAGTGGAGTCTCCATTTTATCGTTTAAATTGAGTGGTACCGAGAATTATAAAGTCTGGTCGTGTGCGATGATGTTAGCCCTTGAAACTAAGAACAAATTGGGTTTTATTGATGGTTCCTGTCCCCGTCCCGTTGACGATCTCAGTCTTGAAAAACAATGGGATCGTTGTAATTCTGTTGTTCTTTCTTGGATTTTAAACTCTATGACTGAGGACTTGTTTCTTGGGCAAGTCTTCTCTAAAGAAGCTTCTCAGGTATGGGAAGAGCTAAAAGAGACTTATGACAAGGTTGACGGATCTGTTACCTTTAACCTTTATCAAAAAATTAATTCATTGAATCAAAACAATATGTCCGTCTCTGAATATTACCACAAGTTAAATTCCYTGTGGAAACAATTTGACGCCCTAGTTAAACTTCCRTCCTGTACCTGTAATGCTTCACATGATTTCACTGAACATAGTCAGCTTATTAAGTTGATGCAATTTCTTATGGGTCTTGATGACAGTTACCAACCAATTAGGAGCAACATCTTAACTAGAGACCCTCTCCCTTCTGTTAAAACTGCTTTTTCCTTGGTTTCTAGAGAGGAGTCTCATAGAGGAGCTAACTCACACCAAAAYAGRACTAAATCTCAAAATTCCGCTTTTTTGAGTAAAGGTTTTGAAAGCAAGAAAAGACCAGGAAGGAATCCTTCAAATTTAATTTGTAAACATTGTGGTATCTCTGGTCATACCATTGAGCGATGCTTTAAACTAATCGGGTTTCCTAAAGATTTTTCAAATAGACCTAGACCCTCCTCTAATTCAAATCAATTTCAGAATTCAAAATCTCAAAATCCAAAATTTATTTCTGGAAATGCTTCAACATCTGACTCTACTTCTACTGTTCAAAAGTCTCCGTTTAGTTTTTCAGAAGATCAAGTCACTAAACTCTTGAGCTTAATTGGTCAAACTCCATCTAATACCACTGGTTCCGGTGATGCCTGCGCCAATATGGCAGGKATGTTTGAAAATTCTAATTCTGGCTAGATAATAGACTCCGGAGCCAACCAACATATGACCTCTAGTTTTCAAAATCTAGAAAATATGGTTGATGTTACGGATTTAAATCTTAAAGTTTCTCATCCCAATGGGACTAAGGCCAATATAAATAAAATTGGGAACTTAAAACTATCTAATAATGTGGTTTTATTTGATGTCCTTGTTGTCCCTGATTTCAACGTTAACCTTCTGTCTGTCCACAAATTAACAAGAGACAATAAAGTTTTCATAAGTTTTGATGAAACAAAATGTTATATTCAGGACTGTCTGCAGAAGAAAATTGTGGGGACTGGTAGTCAGAATGGAGGACTGTACTTTTTTTATCACAATCTTGTCAGTAATACTGCTCTTTCTATAAATGACTGTAGTATAATTTGTTTTGTTTCTTCCCATCTTTGGCGCAGTCGTCTTGGTCATCCTGCTGATCAAGTTCTCTCTGTTTTAAAGAAAAATCTTAAAATTGGAAATGATGTTAGTGGTCCCTGTGAGATTTGCCACAAGGCAAAACAGACTAGAGAACGATTTGTCTCTAGCACACATAAAACCAATAGTCTTGGTGATCTCATTCACTTAGATGTCTGGGGTCCATATCATGTCCAGAGTAGAGAGGGATACAGATATTTTTTTGACCATTGTCGATGATTTCACTCGTGCTGTTTGGGTTTATCTTTTGAAAAATAAACATGAAGTTGGTGAATATGTTGAAAATTTTTGTAGTTTTTTGTTCACTCAATTTAGAAAAAATGTTAAAATTTGCAGAAGTGACAATGGAACAGAATTTGTAAATCAAAAATTAAATGGTTTCTTTGAAACAAAAGGAATAATTCATCAAACTTCTTGTGTGTACACACCACAACAGAATGGAATTGTTGAGCGTAAACACAGACACTTACTTAACGTTGCTAGGGCTTTAATGTTTCAGGCTGGTGTCCCTCTTAATATGTGGAATGAATGTGTTCTGACTGCTACTTATCTGATTAATAGAACCCCATCTTCCATATTACATGGTAAGAGTCCATATGATTTGATTTATGGTTTTCAGCCTGTTCTTACTCATCTTCGTAATTTTGGGTGTCTATGCTTTGCTCATATTCCTAATATAACTGATAAATTTTTACCCAAATCTGAAAAATGTGTTATGCTCGGCTATGCCAATTCCAAGAAAGGTTATAGACTATATAGTCTTGA